TTACATGGGGCGACCATCAGGAAGACTTTCACCAAATGGGAAAGGTGACCCCTGGTCATTTTGGGGCCGAGATATTGATCAACCCCCCCTTTCTGCCCACGTTCTAGTATGACGAGCTCACCATGATGAAGGTCCTTTGCTTGAGCCCATACCTCAAATATTGGAATTGTGATAACAGCAACTTGCAGTGCCTTTGCTTCACCAGTGGTGAGCAACCATGGTCATAACAGGTAAGCTTGGAAGCTTGCAAAGAACTTCTTGCCGCTTTGGTGTTCCTCCATGTTTCCTTTCAAGAAGCAGTCTGTAAAAAAGGGTTTGATCCGTTTGGCCCCGTATGTAATTCTCCTGTACCAAACCAATCGACCCCTCTTGGACGCGTCTCACCTAAAGGACCCAATCGCGAGAGCAGCGCTACCAAAGCCGATTCCGCGAGTTGGCCAACTTAGGGTCGGGGGTCCAATGCCTAGTGCTTGGACCAAACCGCCCCGACCTTTTCCCACTCGATTCATGTCCACGAACCACTTAAAAGGTGGCTCCAACTCTTGAAAAGCCAATGAGGGGTCCATGAAACCTGCAGCTGGAGAATGTCAGGGCTAGGCCACCAATCTTCCGATGGTAGGGGTTCTGGGGAGAAAAGGGGAGCATAGGAACAACTGACCAAGTTCTTGGTCTGTTTGAGGACAGCCAACATGTCCCAGAAAACTTTCGGGTTCAGACCATGTTTTTCCCCATGGCCGAAACAAGAACATCATCCGGGCATATGAATCTTTCTCTTCCATCTTGGCGAAGTCAGTTCCTGGAGTTAGCGAAATGGTTTTATTCCCAAATAAGCCCCAATTGACCCCCACGCAAGCCAGTGCAAGTTGGGCGAATTTGGAGTCCTTTTTTGAGTGGTGTTTAAAGGGAAGGCCAAAAGGAACACCAAAGCCATGTTGGGGGTTCCATATGCTTTGGGACAAACCCATTTAGCTAAACCTCCAGACCACCGCAGTCTGAATCCTTGACTGCTATTGGGTCGGATCTTTAGACTTATCTTTTTTTTGGAAAGAAAGGCGTTTTCCACTAAGCCCCCAACAGTTAAACACTTTTATGCAGGGGGTCATTGCAACCAAGAATCGATCGGGGCCAAGTCGCATCTCGGACTTCTGGGCGCTCTGAGCCAAGCCGAAGCGGACGAGTGGAAGCGCTTTGGGGCGCTTAGCTTTGGCACAAGCCAGTAAAAGAGCAAGCAAGCAGAAACAACAGCAAGCAAACAAGCAAAGAAAGAAAGAAAGAAAGAACGAGAGAGAGAGAGAGAGCGAGAGAGAGCGACAGAGACAGAAACACACACAGACACACAGACACACGCACACACACACACATTTACACAGACAGTGACAGGCACACAGACAGACAAACAAACAAACGTATAAAAAGACAACAGCAAGCAGTCAAGCGAGCAAGCAAACAAAAATAAACAAACAGACAAACAGACAAACAGACAGCCAAACATACAATTAGAAAACCTCAAGCAAACAATCAAGCACACAAGCAAACAAACAATCACGCAAACGTAGGCAAACAAACCGAGGTACAGACATCAGCAAACAGGCAAACAGACAGACAGGCAGACAACTATACAAATACAAACAGAAAATAACTAGCAAGCAAGCCAGCAAGCAAGCAAACCAACACAACAAAATCGATCGAGCAAGCAAACAAACAGACAAACAAACAAGCTGAGCGACAATACAAAATACAAACACGCAAACAATCACTGAAACACGCAAAGACCCAAACTATCAAACAGACTGACAGACAAACAAACACATATGCAAACAGTAGCAAACAAGCAAGCAACCACTCACACACAGACAAACAACACACATACACACATAGAAACAAACAACAGCAAGCAACAAAGCAGACAAAAAGCACAAGCACAAACACACACACACACACAGAAGCAAGCAAACAGACGGGCGGACATGCAAGACAGACAAACAGACAAAACAAACAAACAAACAAACAATCAAGCAACAAATCAGCCAGCCAGCCAGCCAGCCAGCCAGCCAGCCAGCCAGCCAGCCAGCCAGCCAGCCAGCCAGCCAGCCAAACAGACAGACAGACAGACAGACAGACAGACAGACAGACAGACAGACAGACAGACAGACAGACAGACAGACAGACAGACCGACAGAGAGACAGACAGACTGCCAGACAGAGACAGACAGACAGACAGACAGACAGACAGACGGACGGACGGACGGACGGAGAGACAGGCAGACAGACAGACAGACAAGCACACAGACAGAAAACACATACATGCATACATACATGCATACATACGTATGGCAACCATACAACAGCAATCAAGCAAGCAAACAAAGAAACACAGAATCACAGAGCCAGATGTGATAGGATCTTTTGTCTTTTGAGCTGAACACGTTTGGCTCGGCTGATGCACCGCTTGGCGAGAATAATTTGGATTGGCGGTGCCCGCCACTCCGTTTCTTTTGCGGGCTGACCGCATTCATTGAGCCTGACCCGGCCTAGACGTGGCCAAAGGTGCCACGGATCGCTTCAAGGGGCACAGACGTTCAGGTGTTTCTTTTCCTCAGATGTTCTGTGGCACCAATTCTTTTTCCCTTTGTTTGGTGGCTGCCCCACTAAAAATGGTCTTCCCCAAAAAGGGGTTCCCTTTTTTCCCAGGGTCGCTGAACAACTGAGTTTCCCTTTGACCTGCTGAATCGCCCCTTGAGGTGTGTCTTTTCCCGCCTGGGTCGCGCCACGAAAAGACGTGGCGGAGGATGGAGAAACGGTACCATTTGGGGCTGTGTTTTGGAGGGTGTGCTCTTTGGGTTGGTTTGAAGGGAATCGCAAAAGGAGCCACTGACACGAGATTTCATGAACCTTCCTTGCTGCTGTTGCTATTGGCAAAATTTGTCACACAGAACCGTTCACAGCTATGCAAGGGTGATGGTGGAAGCCCCCGGAATGGAGCAGTTACATGTTTGTCGGCACAAGCGACAATGACTCAAGGTGTTTTTCCTCATATTGCTGGGGTGTTTGCTCAGAACTGGGGGTATTGTAGGCAGTTTATTGCCGACACCCCAGGTGCAGTTTATGTTGGGTACCACATATATCCGCCTGTCAGGCTAGTTGCGAACGAATCGCTGAGAGGAACCATTGGCTTTGTATGGGTTCAAGCCACAGTGGGTTAGTCAGTGTTGCGTCCCTAAGATGCAGTTGGAAACGTCGTGTTTGGCTGTTGATTTCTTGGGCAAAACACTTTAACTAGACCCTTGCCCTTTTGAAAGGGGATCAGCAGGAGGTTGCTTCGCCAAATGAGTGTCTTTTCTTACAGGACTCCTCTCCCCTAAAAAAGACACAAAAAGCAAAGATATGTTGGCTGGATTCTTTTTGGTTTTACATTAGAGCCAACCAAAAGAGAGTTCCCTCAAAAAAAAGACCACCCAAATGGTGTTTAAAGGTGCTAGAACAGACAGACTTGGCCCAACCCTGGCTGACGAGCAGACACGCTCAAGCACAGTTGCGCGTGAACCCCTGGCATAAAGTTTATTGGTTAGTCAACTGGGTGTCAGTCTTGTTTTTTTTTGGCATCGGACCCCCTGCTACATATATATATATATATATATATATATGTATGGTGCTTTTCCTTTTGGCTTCCCTTTAGACACACCCAAACAGGGGAACCTCAAAAACACAGAGGCCCGCATGGTTGATGGTCAACGTTGCACATGTTTCTGTTGCCCGAGCTTGCGATTGATTTGGAGGTAGGTACATGTCAGGAGCCTTCGGCAGCTTCGCTATGCATCTCGCGAGTTGCTTCTTTGGTTTCGCTTTGAAACAACCTCAAAGCGGGTACCTTCACACAAACTAACATCAGGTACCTTCCCACCAACTTACATGGAACCTGACAGGGGGTCCCTCTCAAAGGAAACGGTCTTCCAGAACCCCCCTGTCAGGTGCATGTTACTGGGAGGGTACACCTTGGTCCAGAATCATGGAGCTGGAAAAATACGAGCGCATGGTTCCATGATGGACAAGAGAGAAAGCTCGCTGGTGCTCACTAGGGAAGGACCCAGGGTTTTCGGAATGAACCTAGGATTCCCCTAAAGGAAACCACAGGGCCATAGGGGATGGTTGGTGGTCATTGCAAGTAAGGTGTAAAGTCGGGTTATTTGGGACGTAAAAACTTGCCTCGAAATTCAGCGGGAAAGTAAGCCAAAGGCTTCGAATCAGAGTTTGGCAGCGAAGAAATCAGAAGCGCGGCGGGGCTCTGGCCGGGCCTCGTGAGGAGTTTCAACATCGTTTCTTGGTGGCTCCCAGCCGTCCCCTCAGCTTTTTAGCTGTTTAGGGTTTAGTGGTAGTTTCCTTTTAACTCACTAAAAGTTAAACTTCCAGCAAGGTTTTGAATCCTTTTGGCACTCCCTGGGCTTCCGGACGTGAGATTCAGAGGAGGCATTTTTTCACACCATCTCTCACATGGGTGTCCTTTTTGGTTGGTTTGTTTAAAAGATAGAGGGCCCTGGTTTACCTGGTGGTTCAATCATCTACCAGGGCCATCTATTCTTCAAAGAAGGACACCTATGATCTCTCACCTAAGAACCAGAGCAGCTTTTCACAGGTGGGTGAGATGATAGAGGCAGGGCTGATACTTAACTAGGTCCCCCAGCTAGGTGCCCTTTCTCTCCCCTTTTTTGGTTGGGAGGGTTCCCCTACTGAAATAGACTACAGAAAAAAGTTGGTACCCTTATTCTAACCTCTATACTAGAGGACCTAGTTAAGCAACGACGGATTGATGCTGGCCTCTCTTGGACATGATGAATGAGAGTAAGGTCATCTTTTCACATGCCACATACGTTCCTCCCCCGAATTCGCAGGACATTTCTTTGAATTTGACGATGAATGTGCGAGCGGTGAGAGATAAGTTGCGTGAGGAACGGGACACCCAACAAAAGCCACATCGTTTCTGGAATTCATGTGCCTTCTCTCGT